TCTTTTCTATAGACTCCCTTTGACATCTTCTATTGAGCTCTTTTAGTTATTTCTTTCTTTCACTTTATTCTTCATGCGAGAGCTCTTCTGACTTCAACTTTGGGTTTTTCTTTCTTCCTGTCTTTTTAATGACTGTTTGCTTTCTTCGTGTCTGATGTTCTTTATGTCATCTCATTTTATCTCATATGTCATTAAATGTTCACCATATCAAATTTGCTCCTGAGATGGTCTCTAAATTCAGACGGGATATATTTAAGGTCATGGTTTGGCTTTCGTGGACTTGTTTTCATATTCTCTAGCTTCAACTTGAACTTGCATGAGAGCCACTGATGATCTGTTCTGCACTCGGATCCTGGCCTTGTTCTAAGTGATGATCTTGAACTTCACCATCATCACTTCCCACACATACAGTCTATTTGATTCCTGAGTGTTCCATCTGGCGAGGTCCATGGGGATAGTCACCATTTATATTGCTGAAAAAAGGTCTCCTCACAATTCTAACACGAATTCTCAAGTGTTGTTTCTACCACCAAGGTCATATTTTCTGATTCCCAATCTTTGTTTCCAACTTTCACATTCCAATCACCATTCATATCAGTGTATCATGACTGAATGATTAATTTCAGACTGCAAAAGTTGGTTAAAACCTCCAAGGTCTCCATCTTTGCACTCGTGATTTGTGCATAGCTTTGAATAATAGTAGGAGTATCAACTGTTCTTCCTTACAGATAGAAGGATATTATTCTATCAGTGACAGCGTTGTACTTTGGGATAGATCTTGAAATGTTTTTGATGATAAATCTGAGGCCATTCCTCTTCAATGTGTCATTGCTGACAGAGTAGACCTGGACTGATTCAAAATGGACAATACCAGTCCGTTTTAGCTGAATAGTACCTAGGATTGACGACTTTCAATGTTCCTAGATTCATATATCCTCCATTTCAGCTCTTAATGGATATTTGCAGCCCCCATCCCTTCTTGAGTCCTGCCACACCAGCAGGTAAAGGTTTGCTCTTCCCTGATCATACTGCAAATGTCTTCAGACCTGAGGCCTTCTTTTCTGGCACTGTATCAACGCCAATGCTATTCCTAAGATTTTCACTGGTCAGTGTTCTTAGAAGTGGATCGGATCAGGTTCCTTCTTCCTAGCCTTTGTCTGGAAGCTCTGAGGAAAACGGTCCACTATGGGTAACTCGACAGGAATTTGAAATACCGGCGGCATAGCTTCCAGCCATCCCATTAGGACAAAATGGCAGATGAGTGGAAAATATCAGAGCTAGTGAAGAAAGATTTAGCTGGAAAGCATCTGACATACTAGTAACAAATGCAATTGTTACCAATTGCATATCAACCAGTAGGCTCACTCACTCAGCAATAGCATTTGTCAAGCCATCTCTCCAAGGCACTCCCAGGTGTAATCATAGAAGTTCGAGCTGGAATAAACCTTTACAATTAAATTTCATTTCACTTGTATTCACATAAAAATGCCCACCATGTTATCCGTGAAAATGTCCAGCTCATTGGGCTTAGCAGGACGAGAGGGACAGTCAGTGACCCAGAAACACCAAGGACACCTGTCATAATCCATCTTCCACAACTGAAAAACACCCTGGTCTCCTGTTCTTTACTTTCCATGCCTTCGAGTTGCACCTAGTCAAAATACACTAATTTCTAAGGAAGGTCTGCCCATCACAGCACCTACTCTACCCCTGGCAATGCTACTAAGCATTTTGCATCAACTGCCTTATCTTCCGTATATACCATGTGCTGTGTATTATTACTCCCCATCATACAGGTCTTGTTCTCTCCCCTTTACCAATTCAGTATCAAATAACCATTGACATCATACTAAACAGCAGATTTTCAGAAGTTGCTACTGAAACCACCTTGCCATTGTAAGTGCATATTCAGATGCTATACGTGGGCTGATTAGCCCAACATGACTGACTTATTTCAGAACTATTTCTGCTGGGTTAGAAAATGGTGCTATGCGTGATGGTGGGGTAGAAGGAAGGTCAAAGGAAAAAGGAAAGGGATAAGCATAGCGGTGTCCATATGTAACTACATTAATCCATAAAAATAGAGGTATTCTCCCCAAAATAATTTACTTTAGAGGACAGCACTGAAGCTGCAGCTCAGGGAGAGGGACATGTCTGGTCAGAGCACATAGGAGCAAATGAAGGGGGAGGAAGAGAGAGTGGAGCACATCCTGGCCCACCAAGCCT